CTTGCGGTATCATCTGCCTCCTTGTCATTCCCGAGACGTATCACCCAATACTTCTACAGAAGCGTGCTGCTAGAAAACGCAAAGAGACAGGAAACAAGGCATATCACTCTCTGCTTGACACCAGCGCACCAACGTTGCACACGATCGTTTCTAAATACTTGTCGAGGCCTTTCCAAATGTTGCTACTAGAACCGATTCTTATCAGTATCACGCTTTACGTCGCATTTATATACGGGATCCTTTATCTATTCTTTGAAGCCTACCCAATATCCTTCGGTGAGGTCCGCGGCTGGAAGTCTACAGGGGTTGCTGCCCTGCCATTGATAGCAATTCTGATCGGTGTTCTTCTTGGCGTTTTCCTCATATCCTACACAACCAAAGTCCACTACTCTCAGAAGCAAAGGGACGGACGAGCGACACCTGAAGATCGCCTCCCGCCAATGATGCTCGGAGCTGTGGCACTGCCAGTCGGGCTATTCTGGTTCGCTTGGACATCTAACCCGGGTATCTCATGGGTGCCACAAGTCATGGCAGGCGTCCCTATCGGCTTAGGAATAATGATGATATGGAGTAAGTACCTTTTGAAACTTCTTTCCTTGGTAATGTCATACTTTGTTCGACAAGGATCGAAGACAATCTCGGAATCGACGGTCTGGTTTCCCCGGGCATGCATTTTCTTTCTGATTCAATGTGTTCACAACAAAATCTGCTGACTCTAGACGTTGCAGTGCAAGGCGTCAATTATCTTGTGGATGTTTACCTAATGACCGCCAACTCAGCTCTGTCAGCCAATGCGTTGATCCGGAGCACGACAGGCGCAGCATTCCCGCTCTTTGCTACAGCCATGTATCATAGACTCGGTGTAAATTGGGCCACGTCGCTACTTGGGTTCATCAGTGTCGCTATGGTCCCGATTCCTGTTATTTTCTACTTTTATGGTGCAAGAATCCGAGATCTTAGCCGCTTCGTACCCAAGAGATAAAGAGGTAGTAGGAGAAAGAAAGCTGGCAGGCAACTTCCCAGGCTCCTTGCAAGACTGGTGACTATAAAGCATTGCAACTGGAACCTAGACTGACTGAAATTTCAACACACAATTGTGACGTAAAATATATCTAAATCAAAGCGATTTTTGAATGATTTCCTTCTACAATTGCGCAATGTTTGACACAAACACAACATCTTAGTGTAGAAGCAAAGTAGACCGAGAAGTGTGCCTTACACGTAGTTTAGCGTGGCTCTCTGGAAGCCATTGGTCAGGCCGCCACTAAGCTGCACCGTCCTCAGGTCTCTTTTGGTGCCGGAGATAAATGCCAAATCTTTTGACCGATTAAGCCGGCCACCCTGCACACGTGCAAGAGCACCTTAAACTACGGGCAATTGAAGTTTGCTCAAGTATCGTAAACTTATTCTATCAGACCAAAGGACTTATCCTATCTAGTGATACTCTTTGAAGGGCTCTTACGGCAGATCATCCCACGAGCGGATGGTCCGTAGTCCTGGTGGCACGGCTTCGCCGCCCGCTATGAGGACGACACGAGGGCGACAGCGTCCGGGAGGAGCATGCGAAGAATGCAGACGTCGGAAGCTGCGCTGCGATGGTCAGCGCCCGCAATGCCGTGTCTGCCAAGAGTCTGGCGTGACCTGTGAAGTCACGACTCAGCGTGCCACCCGTGGACCGAAGAAGGGCTATATGAAGGCATTAAAAAGCCGAGTTGGTGAGTCTTCCGTCACTTCCTTACCGAATCCTACAGCCTTGCTCTGCCTCTTTGCTGAACAATGCTATCATAGCTTTTTTGGAAAGTCGTCTTGTCACACAGCAGGAAGACGCTTTCGCCAATGGCGGAGCCCGCGATCTCTCATCTGCCTCTCCTATAGAGCTTTCAGACACGGTTTCAAATCAATTGACTCAGGAACCCCAGCCAGAGTCCAGTTTCACGGTCCCCGAGGCAGTTGCCTTCTTACCTAGTCCAGCACCATGTTCCGGTTCGCTGTCGGAATCATCGGGAGCCGCCAGTAATTCTGATATCTCTGGTCTCGTACGGGCCGAGCTGTAAGAGACCACAAATGTTCACCTCACACTGTCATGAAGACTAGAGACTGACATCTGCTATAGGGATCAATTATACTTCGACAGGATTCACCCGTCTGTGCCTATTCTGCACCAACGTCAGTATCTGTCGTGGTCGAATAAACCAGAGGAAAAGCACACATCACGGGCTTGTCTTCAGCATGCCATGTGGACACTAGCTGCTCTCGTGTCTGCCCAGTTTCAGCATCTACAAAAGTCTTTATACCGAGAAACGAAACAAATGCTTGAGGCTTGGAGCCTCGGGGGCAACGGAAAGACCCCAATTGAGGCTGAGCAGGCACAAGCTTGGGTTTTGGTCGCCACGTATGAGTCTATGCGGACGTATCATCAGCACGCATGGATGAGCGCTGGACGAGCATTCCGTCTTGTGCAGCTGATGAGGCTGCATGAGATAGATAGTCCTACGAACCTTGCGGCGACTGGGCCCGACTTCGTCAAGACCGAGGAGAAAAGAAGGGTGTTTTGGATGGCATACTTCCTAGACCATCTCTTCAGCATGCGAAATAATTGGCCTATCACTCTAAACGAGCACGTTGTAAGTCACTTAAATTCTTCAAATCGACGACAAAGAAAGTGAAATACGAACCTAATATTTGACTTAGATATGTACACGCCTTCCTGCCTCAGATACGGATTTTCAAAGTAGCCAGCCGGTGCTAGGAAGCTTCCTGTCTGAAGCCATAACCGAGACGTGCCCAAGTATTCGGTCTCCTTTCAATGAGAGCCTAATCCTGGCGACCATTTGTGAGCGAACCATGTTCTACGGGCAGCAGTACAACATTCGCTGTGCCTATGGAGACGACTCGTTGGACCCATCGGTTCAGCACCGTTGGCTTGATGATATACTTGAGAACAGGCTGCAGATCCTATCACAGTACTATCCGTCGCCAATTGAGACATCCGATCCCATTCTCTTGTTCTCAAACATCATGGCTCAAGCTACTGTTATCTACTTCTGTAAGGGAATGAGGTCGGTGGCTAGCGATGATCACGACGGCCAACTCGCTCAAGCATACGAACAGCGCGCACTCGGCGCTGCAGAAAAGATCATCGCATACGCTCAAGTGCTCAGAGACTTCCATATTTTTAAAGCTAGTTTACAATCTTGCTAACTCGGGATGATACAATCACTAACGAGCTGGCAGATTCATCCTCTCATGCCCCTACCACTCATGTTAGTGGCCGAGTTTCTCCACAAGAATTCATCCCGAAGCGAGACCTTTGAGTCGCGGCTACAAGAACTTCTCAACGTCTTTCGCCAACTAAAGAATATTAACAATCACAAACAGAGTTATATCAAATTACTCGAGCTATCATGTATCTTCACGTCATCAGAGGTGGCCCATGCAAACGCACACCCTACGCCATAGTTCGCTAGAGCACTGAGAACCCCTGCCAAAGACGTACGTGGAGCCAAGACGCTAGAAGGCATCAAGCTGCATATTTGCGGCGCGTCATGCTTGTCGGCTGCCAATTCTAGCGCTTTAAAATACCCCAGCGTATCCAGATACAGTACTAGAGTGCGAGGAGCACGCATTACGTTAAGTTGAAGAGGGGTCCTAGAAAATGAGAGCCAGTCGACAACATCATCATCAACAGCGCATCTCAACGCAACTTCCTTGCGACAAATCCTTGCAATCGAGTCCTTCTTAACTCTCCAGTCATCACGTTGAAACAAAGCTTGACAATAGGGCCATGCGCCCACGTGTTCCCGCTGTCTTCGCCTTCGTCCAGCTCTCGCTTCGCTCGGTGGCCGCGTGCTTGAGTCTTGCGACTCTTGCCCTGCTGATATACTGCACATCGAAGCTGAACAAGACCTTCTCGATCAGCTATGCATCGGTATGACCTATCTATTCAACAATAACGAGTCATCAAGGTGTCCCGCTAACGCATTTCCTCTATCAGACCTCCTGGGCAGTGGTGTTCAACATTTACGAGGCGGCCGCCAATGCAGACTTCCAACGCCGCATCCGCCGCCTTCAGGCGGGCTGGCTCATGACCGTCGATGTCTTGACTGGCGCATTGTGTGCAACTGGGTGTGCTTTCATGGCGCTTGATGATTACGGTGCAGCATGGGAACTCGGCGCAGAGTATCCAGGAAATCCTGCGGATCCATGGAGATGGAGAGCTTTGTATTTGCTGGTCACAGTTGGGTATGCCACCAAAGACTGACACCCCAGGCTTGTGAGGAGCAAGAACTGATTATCATCGCCGTAGGTTGCTTCACCTCGTCTTTACAGTCTTCGCCTGCGCGGATTGTTGCCGAGGAAGATGACGCTTCCGCCAGGTCAACTCTCCCGACTGATTGCCCGGCTTGGGACTGGGAAAAGACTAGAACATGAAGGAGCAATCTCCTTTTCATTTAACTCACTCTATCGATACTTCACCGGGGAGAAGATGGGCTGTTGACATCCGCGCCACGAATCGTGACTACACCACAATTCCCACACGGCAAAAAGCTCGATGGACGCTAAAGCATCAAGAACGATATGGAAAAAAGGCAAAAAGAGAATGCATTTTTGACAACTGCAGGACTCGAACCTGCGAGGAATATCCACTGCGACCTTAACACAGCGCCTTAACCACTCGGCCAAGTTGCCAATTACTTAATTGTTGAGGGATTTCGGTCCCTAAGCTGGTCCATGTGCCAGAGTCCAGAAGGCGTGCGGCCCACTGGGGCAGGGCTTCCAGGACCGGAAAGCACGATCCACTGCTACAGTGGCTAGACTAACCGTTAGCGACAAAGTAAACACACATCAGGAACGCAGTTTTCATGAAATCCCTAAATTCGACTTGAATACCAAGTAGCTACAGCTCTGGTCCATTGATGTGCTATTCCGACATGACCTTGCTTCTGCAAATGGCATCACATTGCTTTGATGTTTCGAGCTAGGTGCAGACAGTATTGCGATCAGCAGTTCTGCCCAGACATACGGGAGCTAAATAGCTTGAATGGCAAAGGCGTCGAGATATCTCCATAGAACTTCCACTGCGACTTGTAGTCCTTTGACAGCTCCTTCTCCAGCAACAGCGCTCGAAGCATCTCGATCGGCATTGTGTTCGCCTTTAGGACGCGATCATGAAACTCTTTCTCTGTGTACTTCTTGCTCCCAAGGACCTCGGACCTCAGCGCGTAGAGCTGGAGCGCGCCTAGGAAGTATCCCGCCTGGTAGAGTGGACTGTAATCTCCATTGAGAGAGCGCCGCACCTCACCCTCTGCTGTCGCGCGCTCGTGTCCTACCATATCGACAAGCAAGTCCACGCACTCCTGTGGCGTTAGTTGACCGAGATGGAACTTTAATGAGAACAGGATTCGCGCACAGCGGTGCATCCTCCAAAAGAGCGTGCCAACACGATCTTCGGGCGAGCTGAAGAAGTCACCCCGATCCCAGAAGATCAGCTCCCAGTACATGGCCCACCCTTCGACGTAAAACGGCGTGGTGAACAAGTTTCGGTACTTCCGGTTTCTCGTAGCCACATATCCTTGCAGATGATGGCCGGGAATCATCTCGTGAAACGCGGTCGCCTTGGACAGATGTCTGCCATTCCCTCGCATACTCATGAGTTTGTCTTCGTGCTCCATGGTATCTGTCGGGTAAGAGACAATGATCCAACGCCCGCCGAGAAAAAATGGATTGACCTTTTGCCATTCGGGTGACATCATGTCCATGCGGATGAGCTTCTCTGCCAAAGGAGGGACGGTGATCAGATCGTGTTTCTTGACGTATTCCACTCCACCATCGACGAGTTCTTTGACCAACTCCGGCATCTTCCCCGGCTCTGGATAGATGTTCCGTACATGCTCAAGGGCTTCTCTCCAGTCGTCGCCAAATCCCAGCTCGTGGGAGGCCTTCTTCATCTCTTTCTCACACCATGCGTACTTCTTTTTAGCAATCACAAGAAGTTCCTCCGGGGTATACGGGATGCACTCTGCCTCCAGGTCCACCAAGAGGCCATCTCTGCCAATAGGCTCTCCTACAATCTCATCCTTGGCATCAGGCTTCATTCCAGCAAGCTTGAACTGTATCACCGGTACCAGTGCCTGCAACGCCTCGTCCAGCTTCTTGTACGGTGCGGCCACCCACCAATCAAACAAGGGGTTATAGCCTTTGAAAAAAGAACAGAGCTCGTCCAAATGAGTTCGTAAGCTGCCAATTGTCCTTACGGCGCGGAATGCGGCTGTCTTGTCTACGGAAAGACTCCCAGCTTCAATTTTCGACTGGGTTTGGGTGATGATTTTGGTTGCCTCGTGTACAAGTTGAGCGATGCGTTTCGGCTCAAGCACCTCGAGCTTTACCTCGCGACGGGCTTCCCATAGTTCGACGAGGGGAGGCGCAAATGGTAGTAGAGGCTCCATCTTCTTATCTCGGGCCTCGTCCAGTTCCAGTCGGCGGCGGCTTCTCTCAAGGTAGCCCTTCAGGAGCAAGTAGTCCACACGGTCCTCCTGGCCGTAACTGTTGAACGGACATCCCTCGAGATTCTCGAGCTCGTCAGAGTAGAGCGTATATAGCTCGTTGTAGCGACGAGGAGAAAATTCAAGCGTCCAGAACTTCTTCAACTCTTTCTCGTCTTCGCGAACCCTTGCCACACGATCCGACATGCTCTCGTCCTCCACAAGTTGCTGGAAAGGGTTCTCAATAGCAAGACTCAGCCCTTCTGCTTCGGACATGTCGACATTATCCCAGCTCCCTTCGAAGATAACACTACTGGACTGAGCCACATCCGAACTCATCTGTGGTAAGGCTTGCGACAAGCCCATTTCCGGAGATTGGTCTCTTGATGATGATACCAGCAGGGGGTCGAGGGCGGTCAGTCCAGGCGGCGCCATGGTTTCGTGAGTTCCTCTTACCGTGAGGTAAAACTCGACGTGCCCTCGATGATCTCGTTCTCCAACCGCCTCGAATGAGCATAAAATGAACAACTCAATTGATAAGTCTCAAGCACGGGATGATAGGGGATTCCAATATCACGATGAGGACCTGCATCCCTGACCTGGTGAATAGGAAGTTGTCGGAAGTCACCGCCGCTGGCGGGAGATAGGCGATGCGGGGCATCATCCTCTGCGTTGATGCAGGTGCAGCGGGGTCGCAGAGTGATATTGCCCTGGAAAGAGCTCTGATCGTCATCAACGTGTATTACAGGCAGGAGCCTCCCGGGTATTTCAAGCCCGTAAGGGAAGGTGCACCAGACAGATGGGTGTTCCACGGTTGCCTTATCTGCAGGCTTATATAAGATGTTATAGTCGTTCAACACCGGGAGCATTGAACGTAAATATTTAGAGGAAGGCTATCTTAACATTTCTAATACTTTGACAAGAATCAGATCGTGAACATTCCACACCCAAATGGCTGTAAAGCTAGAAGACTAGTATCGCTATTAGTAGTGACCTACTTATGAAGGAGTGCGGGGCTTAGAACGCCCTGAAATCAAACAGGAAGCAAAATCCTGTAGGGATACGCATGCAATTGCATAGTTCGCCCAAAGATGACGCGCTTTTTATCATTGGACTGTCAAGTGTCTATTAAACGCCTTCTTTGACCTCTTCATCCAAGCCTTTATCTCATAATCACATCGAAGTCGTAGCCATACTGAGTTAACATCCCGCCTAAAGGGAGCCGTTCATCTTGGTGGCCCCTGCTGTGCATTCGGAGGGTCACAGTGGACATTCCAGCTGGCCGACACACTGTTCGATATCAACTCGTACATGGCACCAAAGTCAACTCCATATGAGTCGACATCCATCGCGTCCTCCCCAAACTGCCCTGGCTGGGCGTATTGGCTCAGCCCGTTCAGTTCCGACGGATCGAAGGCGTCGGGGTCAAACGTGTCAAGAGGGAGCTGGTCGTGGTGGTACGATGGTGAGAAGAATTGATCGTTGAAGAGCGCCATCGCGGCAGATGCTTGTGGCTGGGCAGTGCTCTCCGCTGCATCGTATGTTCCATTTGGTATCTGCAATTCCGTAGTCGGGGTCACTGGCAGCGACTTCGGGGTGACATCACCGCCTAGGGGTTGGATAGGGGGTAGCATGATCTCTGCTGGGTTTGGTCGCAAATCAGCTTGACTAGGTGGTGGCGTCGGCTGGGGAAGCTTCTCTGTCTCTCTGCAGTCTTCATCCAACTTTTTGCAGAACTCTTTGTACCACGGTATCACCCTTGATTCCAAGGCATACAGCCAGATGCCCGCAACTTTGAACTTTCCGTCTGCCGATGCGCGCCGTAGACAGCCTGCAAGTACGTCGATGTAGAGTTGCAGCCTGAGTGAGTCAATGTTGATGAGGTTGTACGTGTTGGTTGCCCATATCTGATGGCCGAGCTGGAACAGGAAGCGCAGTGCGTAGAAAACTCTGCCATAGGCAACGTTGCCCAGTCGTCGCAGTCTTTCAGGAGTCATGTTTGTAAATATGTCTAGCATCGCATGTGCTGCCGTTAGGCACTTGCGAGAATAGCCAACCTTCCACGGCGTGAGTAGGTAATGTTGGTGGTTGGTATCGTCTGCCTTGGTGAGAGGTGGGAGGCTCGAGGGTCGCTTCTCGAAATCTTTATATGTGAGTTTCCCGGCAGGAAACAAGACCTCGGAACTTTCATTAGGTTAGATACTATAAGGGCAAGGTGACCATGGTCACTCACATTAGGATGATGTATGAATGGTATTCTACCATCAGTTGGGCTTTCAGTCATTAGTTCGCGTCCTTGCTGGGTTTGCAGGAAAGACTGTTTACCGTTCATAATCTCCATTGGACAATCCACCATCCATTGTCCTAGTCTCTCCTCAAATTCATCGACGATGACATCGCGGCCTTCATCTGTCAGGCCGTAGTAGGATGTGTGAGCACGAAATAATGTTGTTGCGGCATCTTGAGCGAGGTGTGCCAATTTTACCCAAGCAGCAAGACATCTATCAGCGTGCTCTGGAGATCTTTCAATTATACGCATGCTCTGTCGTACTAATCGATTGTATCGCAGCATCATGGGCTGACGGATTTTCATTGTTATTCTGTTTGGTCAGTGAGCTTTCAGCCACTTTGTTGGGAACGCGTCAAAACCTACACGAAGCTACTCCAGTACCATATCAGAAGATCCCGACTGAGTTCCATGGCGTATTCATCGATGAGATCTTCCGGCAGCTCTGGGGTTTCAAGCATGTGCACCTTAGAGGATTGACCGAGCGATACGACCATCCGCACTGCAACATGGGAGTGCTGTAGAAAATGCCGTTGGTTGGGATATGTAGGCTCATGATGATGGAAGACAAAGTTCTGCAACGCTTGGAGGATCTCTAGAGATGGCTGGGCCTCGGGGGTAAGCCGCTCTTCTATTATACGGTTCATCTCAACGTGCAAGCTTCCAGCCAGCTTAAAATTCGTCAGACTACCTGACGATGCAGCACAGAGGGCACTGAGCCAGAGAAGTGGACGCGTTTTCCTGAGCTCTGCGGCACTGAGATGCTTCGGCAGGCTTATGCCCAGGAACTCGAACTCCATGTCAGCTCGATACTCCCGTATCAGATCCTCCGACTCGGCTAAAGTGAGAATGCCCTGGTCTACGACATCTGGTAGCGGAGGCTCCGGTGTGTCGGGCACACTCTGTGATCCTACCGATGGCGAGCCAGGATTGCTACCGCTGACGGTGGCAGGAGCCGATTTGTAAACAGGAGACGGAGCTACATCCGCAATCTCTGTGTAACAACTGGTTGGCGTAGAGTCTGTACTAGCTGACTGCTCCGGGGTGAGGTGATGGTCTTCCTTGTTTCGCAACAGCAACTGCATGTCTCGCACGCGACGTTCTAGCTCGGCGATCCTCTCATTCTTCGTGCGGGTAGGCCGCCGCCTCGGTCCCACGGGCGTGTAGACACATGGGCTACCATTCTTGGCACATCTCTTGCATGCGCCGACTGGCGACAGAGGCTCAGGGATACATCTCACCTTCGATACGTGGCAGGAGTCACAGGCCTTGTTAAACTTGTGCCCGGCTGTACGCTCGGTAGATGGCGCCGAGTTGGCCGGGATGCCCGCGCCTGACATCCGTAGAGGCTGTGCAGTCGCGGGGCTGAAAGCAAAAGACAGGGGGTGTCCAGGGCCTCTTGCGGGGTTGCGAAATGAACTTGAAAGGACAAGAAATGGCCAAGACAGGAGGGGCAAGACTGGGCAAAAGATCAGATGTTGAAATTAGCTCAGACGCATGGCGTTTGAGGCGGCGTTACGAAGCGAGTTAAGACAGGTTCCGGAAGTGCTTGGCTGTCCCGAGAACGTGGTAAGTCAATGTGAACAAGAGCCCCGCCACGAGAAGTACTGTACAGCTGGAATTTTGCGCAAGATGCCACCAGTCTTTGCGTGGGGAAAGGTGGGATGGATAGATAGATGGTCAGTCCGGACTGACTCGTAACATCAACCGTAGGCGGCGTCAGGACAGGCAAATGCCGTTCATTAGACTAGACAAAGATGAGAATAGATCGGGAAATATTCTCGAATTCAAGATTTGTCAAGAGCCGAGCCGGAAGAGAACATCTGCCTGCCAGGAAGCGGTGAAGGATGATGGAATGAATAAGTTAGACTTTGATTCATGCTCCTGTCAGCCTTGAGAACAGCGGAATTCGGGAGAGTGCTATGCAAGCCCGCCGCACGGGAATGCTACGGCTTCCGTCCGTGAAAGACGAAGCTCCGCCGAATAATGAAAGTGCCCGTTGACGTCAATTTGCGCCTTTCGACGGTCGGGTGCTGCGGAAGTCCACCTGGTCCTAATTGATCATGGGCATGGAGGAGAGTGCTGACGAGGCCTGCCTGGTTTGGCATGTCAGACGGATGCCGGCAGCACAGATGGATGGTGATTGTGGGATTTCGCGCTTCGGCGGGAGAGATACGCGGCGGACCAATGCACAATTGGCTGCCGTACTTTTAGGGGATTAGTGCACAAGTTTGTGGCAGCCGGCCCAGTCAGCTTCCGATCGGTCGTTGAACGGCGCCGATAAGTTATACTGAGCATCTGGGCAAGGCGTGCTCCTTGCAGATGCTGACTAAAAGCCGTTATATCCGTTAGCCCAAGGCACCGGCTGGCCGTTGTTTGATTGTTATTACTGTGGCCCGGTCCCCTCTAGTTTATTTCCGCTGCTGTCCCTGGATTTTTGCGCGATCGTCCGTCATTCGTTCGTTAGGAGAAAGCATTCCGTATATACGGACGCCATCGCGAGATGGACGAAAAAGACATCGAGCGCGGCCAACCGGCCGAGGAAAGCCGCCCGGAAGTGCACCGTCCAGTGAGCGGCGGTGGCTCAACAACCGAGGCAGACGAGAAACCAGCAGTGCAACGACCGAAGAAGACCAGCGAGGACGACGATGCTTCCGACCACGGCGAGCCCGATATTGATCACGACGAAATCGAAGAAACGGTCCCTGGTCACGAACTTGACGTACAACTCAGTCGGGTGAGCAGCCCCCGGATAAGCGTGTTATACTGGCACAGATTGAGTGCTGACAGTAGTGTAGGTGCACGACATCGAAAGCCTACGACGAATTGAAACCCGAGAGAGCATAAAGAGCAAAGTCTCGAGGGTGCTTACCGCCGTCAGCCGCAGAAGTAAGAAAGAAGGACTTCGCCATGAGCCTATACCGGTTTCCAATCTCGATGAGGGTATCGTCGGCTGGGATAGCCAAGAAGACCCCGAGATGCCTCTCAATTTTCCAAGCTGGCAGAAGTGGATGCTTGTAGCGTTGCTCTCAGCCATCACATTGCTGACACCATTCGCCTCTTCAATTCTCTCACCTGGAATTGCGAGTTTGTCGGAAGAATTCGGTAACAAAAACGAGACCGTTGGCGCCATGACCGTAAGCATATACCTCCTAGGTTATGTGATCGGGCCATTGTTTCTCGCTCCTCTCTGCGAAATATATGGTCGAAAGCCGATCTTGGGAGCCGCCAATGCTTTCTTTTGCGTATGGCAGATTGGCTGCGCTCTGGCGCCTAACATTGCGACACTAATCGTATTCCGATTTTTCAGCGGTGTCGGCGGCGCAGGCTGTCTGACACTTGGTGGCGGTGTGATCAGTGACATCTTCCGAGCGGACCAGAGAGGGTTTGCCATGGGCATTTGGACACTCGGTCCTCTTTTCGGTGAGCTTCAAAACTTGCATGACTTTTACGACCTCAAAGCTAACATTTCCAGGTCCAAATGTCGGCCCTCTCATAGGAGGCTTCATCGCTGAGACAATCGGCTGGCGTTGGGACTTCTGGATCGTCCTCATTGTTGCAGTCATTGTCACAGCTCTCATCGAGTTCCTCAACAAGGAAACTAGCCATCGAGTCTTGATTGAGCGAAAGGTTGCTCGCCTTTCTAAGGAGCTAGGTCGCGATGATCTGAAAAGCTGCTACGGCTCCGCACAGCACCAGAGCAAGTCTCGCATCCTGCTCAACGGCCTCGTCCGACCAACGAAGATGCTGTTCCTCTCACCTCTCGTCTTCTTCCTATCACTATACATCGCATTCGTATACGGCGTCCTATATCTCCTATTCACGACCATCCCTGTTGTGTTCGAAACAACATATGGCTTCAATGTCGGTCTTACTGGGCTAGTGTACCTCGCTTTAGGTGTAGGGAATCTCGGTGGCTGGGCTGTCGTCACTTTCCTCTCTGATAAGTCAGTCATCCGTCTTGCCAAAGCAAACGACGGCAAGTTCGAGCCGGAAATGAGACTTGCAATCTCGATCTTTTTTGGCTTCTTTCTACCCATCACGTTCTTCTGGTACGGATGGTGCACACACTACCATGTTCACTGGGCATCCGCTGTCATATCACTGATCCCGTATGGCTTTGGCATTGTGGGTATTTTCCTGCCCATTACGACGTACCTCGTGGACTGCTACCCAATGTACGCCGCTTCAGCGATAGCAGCAAACACAGTGCTCCGCAGTCTCGTCGGCGCTCTTCTTCCACTTGCCGGATCATCCATGTACGCCAGCTTGGGGCTTGGATGGGGAAACTCCTTGCTGGGATTCATCTGCGTCGCCATGATTCCGTTGCCGATCGTCTTCTACAGGTACGGTGCACGGTTGCGCAAGGCGCAACACTTCAAATTATAGACAGTTTCTGTTGTTTACATCACCGCGTCTTTGATTCATCAGGCTCAAGCCATCCTGGAGGGAAACTGGACTTATAATGAGTTGCATATTCTTGGGCGTTTTGTGTTTAGCCTTTGATACAGTCTGGAAATCGATGGCGTTGTAGAAAAATTGTGTAGATAGATTCAAGTTGGCTAATGATATACCCATTGAACTGTAGAATTGACATCGTTCACTTAACAGCGCCCTTAGCGTTGAGTCACAGCTTTGTCATCTTGCTTTATTTCACGGCTCTTGTTTCCGATTGTCAATCTAATGGTGTTGACCCGGCCTTGAAACAACCGACTACCATGCGGCGCAGAGCAATTCTGCCTATACCTGGGAAGGCGTGTTCGTATATTCGCGGCGCTGCTTTGGTGTGGGTGCGTCTCAAGGCTCCATCTCTGATGATATTGCAACTTTCTACCTGGAATTGAGAAATGATTGGGTATGAAATCATCGCCGTAAGTTGGGTTGGTTGCGACTTCATACGCTGTTCGGTGGCACAGTCCACACACAGCACTAGGCAGGCAGGCACCCACGCCACTAGTCAGGGGTAGTTTGGAGGCTGAATTCTTCAATTTTCCTCGAAGACTCACAGCACTTTCTATTCACAACGGCTTCACCCAACAATTATATAAGTTGTCAAGTGTTTGTCACCTTACAATTGATTACTGCTAGCCCGGGTTGCCCCTTTCCCAAGGCTTTCGCAGCTCCGTGTTGCCGATACTGAATGGCGATCACCTTTGGCGAGATTGCCTCAAAGGCATACACCACTTCAGCTATCCTACTACTCTCGTCATGGAGCCTCACCGCACTCGTCATCACTGCGTTGAACGTGATGAATGACAAAAAAGGATTTCTCGCTCCAGCTGCCTCTATTGGCCTCCTCACATTCTTGGTCTGCCGACTCATTGCAGCCGTGAATCCTCTGCCTATACCAGTCGCAGCCAATCGCGGGACCTTAGCTCATCTGATTGCAAGCGCAAATTATGGATCGCGATCAGGAGCTTTTGTTCTCTTCTTGATGACTTGGACTTGGCTGTATCAACTTCTAGAGACCTTATTCGTCCTCGTTCTTGCGACTACCATTGGGGCGTCAATGTTACTGCTCATCGTTCTCGGCGAGCCTGTCAACAAAGAAGAGTCTGGCACCGACGGGGGCTCAGCCACGGCTTTTGATTTCGATGCGAACAGCACCGCCTTGGTGGAATTCGAAGAAAAGCTCGGCGTTGACCCTACCGATATTATTCGGAGATTCGGGCCTTACACGTTCGCAGTTATCATAGGCCTTGTGTGGATCAACTTCGTGAGCCTCTGCCTCTATGTGCTGGGCCACGCTGCAAGATCTTTCTCAACAGTCCTGAGCACTCCAACGCAGAGTTTGGTTGTACAGCAGATGAACGTTGCTATAGTAGGGGATGGGGCTATTCCTGCGCCATTGAACCTTCCTGAACCTCCACAGGGTGTCAACGTTGTCACGGAAGAGAAGATGATTATTGATGCATGAGAAACGATCAAGGAACTGAGGGCAGAGAAGATGCCGACCTCAGGACCAGACGCTTGGAGACACAAATGCCTTGGTGTGGAATGTCGAAATTGCAAGAACCTTATTGGAAAGATAGATGATTTCGCCAACAGCGCGTGTTTAGAAAGAATGGATAGGCAAAGTCAGCGGGAAGCGGGAACTAGGACGGTGGAAATATATGCGTCCAATTCGAAGCGACTGTTTCTCAACTGGTTCTTAGAGTCCAGTCAAGATGTTATCGAAGTAGCGAAAATGAATTCATCCGTTCAATTGGCTGCATAGAACAGCTTATATCTAGTTCGTGATAGTAATATGTTATGTGGTGATCTTAATTGCCGAGACTATCTTCGCAGCATTTAAGTGTCTCTGAGCCCTGTCGATGCACTGGACTCCATCAAGGCTTCGGCCCTATATGGTGAAATGATGTTTTGAGCTTCAAAATGCGAGTATCAACTCGCATGTAGCTAGCTCTAGGCAACAGAATTTCCTGCAAGCGGACTCGTTCAAGCGCTTGCCTCATCGCATGGGCCGATTTGCTGCAGGATGGAACGTTGCTAGCGCATGCTTGTAGCTGACGATCTCTTTAGGGCTCGGCTTCAGTGCCGTTTTGGATTCATTTATAGGGAAGGCTTGACTACGCTTCTCTCACATTCACACGAGATTGCGGGGTTGTTGTGGAGTGCCGTCATCGCTTTCACTGGTCTAAGCATTGTGAAGGATTCAGAAGTCCATTTGATATGGAAGGTGGGATTTCTTGGTTTACGCTACGTGGTTGACACTGCCATAGCATGGGCATCATCGTTTAGTACAGTCCGCAAGGTGCGAACCTAGTAGGCGGATCAAAAAGCATATATGAATTCATGCTGCCATACGGCAAAGTGCTGATCTTGTCTACCTTGGTGTACCGAATGTCTGGATTGAGCGACGTGTTTCAGCAGGTGGTAAGGCAAACTCCACTTCACTACCAGATTAAGGCTTACATGATATGACCGTAGGACCTTGCGATGCGGACAGCTAGCGGTCTTCTGAGGGCAGCATTTGCTCTGTCCATTCCGAGCGTCCAGGCAACAATTCATGACTACACCACTGCCGAAGCCGGCAATCCTTTCGTAGATGGATGGTATGCTGATCCCGATACGGAAATTTATAACGGACTTTACTGGGTTTATCCAACATCTTCATATCCGTATGACGAACAAACGTATCTCGACGCGTTCTCATCACCCGATCTCATAAAGTGGACCAAACACTCGAATATTCTGACGACTGCTGATTTCAGCTGGGCCACAAGAGCAGTGTGGGCGCCTGCACCAATCAGTCGAAATGGAAAGTACTACCTCTACTTTGGCGCAAATGACATCCAAACAGACAGTGAGCTTGGCGGCATAGGTGTAGGTATATCCGACAATCCAGAGGGCCCCTACCTTGATGCTATTGGGGAGCCCTTGATTGGGGCTTACCACAATGGAGCACAACCGATTGACCAAGACGTCTTCATTGATGACGATGGTCAAGCATACATCTATTATGGCGGACACTCGCACGCCAACGTTGCGTTACTCAATGAGGACATGATTAGCATTGGCACATTTCCGGATGGGGATCAGTTCAAGGAAATTACACCTACGAATTATGTTGAAGGTGCCCAGATGTTCAAGAGGAATGGAACATACTACATGATGTGGTCTGAGGGCGGTTGGACGGGGCCGGACTACGCTGTCTCATACGCCATGTCAGATTCACCCATCGGGCCTTTTACACGCCTGGCCAAGATATTACAGCAAGACTCGACCGTTGCGACTGGATCAGGACACAATGGTGTTATCAATGTACCTGGGACAGATATCTGGTATATTGTGTACCACCGGCGGCCTTTAAGTGAGACTGATGGCAATCACCGGGTTGTTTGTTACGATCGGATGTATTTCAATAGCGATGGGACGATCCAGCCTGTCACCATGTTGGTGAAGGACAACTTTGAAGATGGTAACATGATTGGTTGGAAGACCTACGGCGGGTCATGGTCCGTTGTCGATGGTCAATTCAGTGCAGGATCCTCGACAGGCGGAAAGGCGCTTCTTGACACCAACTTCACTGAAGTTGTGGTTGACACGGATATTACAATCACTTCCGGTACTGGAGATGCTGGAATAGTCTTTCGTGCTACTTCCCCAAGCACGGGTGTGGACTCTTACGATGGGTATTACGCTGGCATTAGTACTACTGGCAACGTAGTTCTCGGCAAAGCAAATGGAGGTTGGACATCACTGGGTAGTGCAAGCGTTCCTGTCGTCTCAGGCACACAGGTACACCTGCGTATCAGTGCTGTTGACAGTACTATCAACGTGTACGTCGGTGACATGGGCACTCCGAAAATTACGGTTACAGATAATACATATGTGTCGGGCATGGATGGTGTTCGTGTCTATCAGACATCTGCCACCTTTGACAACGTTTCAGTGGCGAAGGCGTGAATGACTCTTTTCTATTAGTCGATGATATACACTCAATCACTCATAACTTTGTGATAATGGATACGTTTGAGTCATAATTTGTTTCTCTATTCCTAAATCGCAGTCGTATCATGTCTGAGAGTTTTCCCCACATTTGTTCATAGCCAGGCTGCACTTCCTGCTTGACCCTCCGTAAAGTTACAATTTAGCCTGCTTATTCTATCGTGACATCCGGTCGTACCCAGTCAAATGTATCCAAGAGATCGAATCCGGCAAATTGGAAGTCATTCCAATCCGCTGCGAATGTCGTGTTGTCGATATTCAACTGGGGTTCTAGTGAGGGGCCGTTGGTGTTGCTAAGCTCTTGGTCGATGACTTGCTGTATTATAGATTTGACATTGTGGCAGAGGCTGCCATTTGCGTCTGTAGGACTGATAAAATCTAGAAAGCCCAGTAGCTGGCTGAGCTTCTGAATTATCGAAGATCGGGAAATCTTAGGATCATTGTGCGGAATGGGACTCTTGAGTTGTTGACACAGGATACCGCTTGCAGGGGCGGCAAAAGTTAAAACCTAGCAAGGAATTTGTGAGCTCTCATATTGCATCGCTGTTCTTCCATAACGTCGTGTACGTTCTATGGTCTTTCAGGGTGATAGGGGAGTAACTTACTAAGCAGTCCAAGTCACCATGCAAGTCATAGAGGCGACTTTTATACATCCAGAAGTCCAATGTTAGGGAAATGATGTCGAGGCTGACGGTAAGAAGGCTTGTGCTCGGTTGTGAGTGCTTCTTTAACAGTAGCCGCTCGAGAAAAAACATATTCTGCATGTGCTCAAGTCTCAACACGAGCTTAGCATACAAAGCTGCCCCAGCGTTGTCATCATCTTTGGTGTCGTCGGCATAGCAAGCCAGGAGCTCTTTGATATCTCCTTCGTCAAAAACTAAGGCTCGTGGAAAGTTCTGGATGGTTTCCAGCTCTCGATTTCTTAAATTCCTACCAGCCGAACGGTGGTTAGCATAGAATGCGCCAAGTCTTTTTTTTTATAAGAAAGAAAGGGACAAGGCTGGGGATACGTTATGTGCTTTGTAGCCACCATCGGATGGCTGTTCACAATTGGTCCAGTACGGGTAGTGACTGGGTGGAACTTACAACAAGACATCCGTTGAAACATCCTGCATCTCCTTAAGCGCAATCTCTAAAATCGCATCACGAATGCATGACAGCATGGTACGAGCACGGAGCATGGTCACGGGCAGAATTTTTCCTTCCGTGTTCCAACCGTTGCTGTCCAGGTTACGAACTGCTGTATCAAGTACAGCACCACCCGCAAGAAGTGTTTCATCGCTCAAGTCTAGTGGCAATGGAGTTGACACAAAAGTTCGTACCAAAAGGGGCGGCCGGCCGGAAATTGTGGCCAGCTGCTTGTCTGCTTTGAATGCTCCGCAAAGTATCCGTCTTTTTGCTTCTGACATTGCACTGGGCTTATATGGCAGATTCGACGGCTCAGCATGCATACCGAGAAAGGTCAACATAGCTATTGTCTCGGCATGTAGCTTCCAAACTTCAAGGTCTAGGAGTAAAGGTCAATACTGCCAATTAACCGCGTTCCATACTAATGACTTACGAGCATCTCCGACAATATTTGAAACAAGAACGGCATATCTGTACACGGTGTATAGTATCAAACTATTGGCGTTGCGCGAGGTATTTGCAAGCTGAATGCATGTCGCAGCACACTCTTTATACTTGAGCACCGCCTTGCGTCTATCACGGCCACTTTGCCACAGGCCTTGTAGACCATCGACGTCATGGAGTTGAAATTTATATGACCCAAAAGCCCAAAATGTGAAAAGGAGAGCTAGGCACTCCCATCGCATGTTCTTCCCGGAAAAGGAGGCCATCCACTGCTCAGGATTGGTGTCTTCGCCTAGTGGTCGATTGCTATTATACGTCAATTGCAGCGCCATTTCTCGCAGCATGGATGGATCGGCATGTTGACGAAGATTTGGACCAAAAGTACGCCACATAGCTCCGATCATTTGTTCCGCTGCAGGTCTGATCCAGCTGGCGTTGGCATTGACATGCCACCGGAAGAGAACCTCGCCAGTTTTCTGGTCGGGGATCATACGCAGGACATCAAGAGCAGTCTGAGGTGTGTCCGGTATCGATGTTAATTTATCCAGCGAGACTGAATTAGGAGTGGAAACCCCAATCCCTACAGAAGTTGCCGTTCTATCAAACCCGAAGCGTGGGCTACGGTCTTGGTCAAGGTTGGTCTGTGTCTCGAGGAAAACGGCAGAAAAGCTTGTTGGCCCAAGGTATCCGTAATTGCGACTGGAAGGGGAGGCAACCGCTGTTACAGTGTTAGAGATGTCTGTTTGTTCGCTTTCTTCAATCTGACTGAATGCTGTCGAAGGTTGCTCGGACGGCGAAGGGGACGGAGGTTCGAATTCTGCTGGTCGTCCGGCGATGAGGTAAATACATTTATTGGCTGATGAGCTTCTCTTGCATCTCTGGCACACCGGAACCTCATGGCCACAAGAGACCTTGCGCCGTCTGCAAGGCTCGCATGCTTGCTGCCGACCGTTTCGTCGCCGAGGCGGTCGGGTCAACGCGGCAGAAGACATGTTGCAGCTCAAGATCACTGTACTGTGGGCCCGCGGTGTAGAGTATTCGTTTGCAATACTCCACAGATGATGAAGAGATAGACAGGTATCGGGAGTCAGGTCCTTCGGAGTCAAATATTTTCGATATCTCAATAGATCTCAGTGGAGATGGTGTGCCGAGCTCCTAAGATAATGGCATCGGCGTTCGTAGTCTGAACAGGAAGCGTAGAATCAATGACCGAGCAGTGCAAACTTGAAGAAATTTCATGCCATTGCGAATATTTCCTGGATGATTGAAGGCCAAAAGTTCCCCGAGAAGTCTGATATTTCCCAATATGCAAGACGCTTCTGAAAGCCGTGAGCGCCGAGGATGACATATTAGGAGGGCCTAGACCTGTAGTGACTAATCTGAACGCCGTCCTCCACCCATGCTTTCGGCGCTCGGCGCTCGGCGCTCACTACATCGATGTGATAGGCAAAGTAGGCAAATATCTCAGGCTCTGTCTATTCGCTATCTACATTAGAGATAGGCTGGATTCTAACTCTAGTCAATAGGATAAGCGGTGGTCCCTGGTAGTACCTCCCTGATTAGCCCCATCGCTGCCATTTGATCAACAAGCTCAAAAAGGATAAGGTCACATCCCTTAGCTACACCTAATGCCACAGTCACTGGCTGCCATTCCATCCGTTTCGTGTAGGGGCTGAAGTACTCAACCTGGCCAACTGGAATAACTATCTCCGGAACTCCAGCGTAATTAACATATAATCCATCATACCACCCAACAACAAGTGTCGCCGTGTGTGGTGCGACTTTGGCCATCGATGGAGGAGTGTGGTATGAGTGTGCAAATATGTACTCGCTGCATGTCTTCTCATTGGCAGGAAGAACCTGTTTGTTATAAAAGTCCGCGAAAGCAAGCCTTCTACGTTGAGACTCTGGGTACCGCAATCGTGTAGTTTCATTTTGACCATCGACCCACGACACATTCACCGGTGGGTCAACGGGGGGAGAAGCACCGGCATTACCTGGAATCTTGCCGTACGCCTCCGTCAATGGTGCGCCAATCTCATCCCAGCCTTGCACGCTGTTCTGGTCCGCATATACATTCTTCATGAACATAGCTTGTGTCTGCGGGGGATCCGATGCACTCACGTTGGCATCGAGAAAAGCTTGTGTCATGTTGATCGATGCTTTGGACAAGTTGAATGCCGCTGTTAAGTTGGCGAAGAAAGCCTCTATCAGTTCCTTGGCGGCCGGCTGGGAGATATTGGTGGGCTGGTCCGCATAACGAAGAATCTTCTTCGGCATGCTGCTGGGCAATCGAGTGAAAGGCTTGCCCTCAGCCCAGACTTTGCCAACGCGGGTGAATATGTCCGGTGACCTTGCCATAAACCCTGGGGTATCTTGTTCAGTGATTGCGACCAGTATTCCCGTCAAGTTGAATATCCCATGCGTTGGCTTGTACCCGTAGAAACCCCCAAATCGTGCCGGAAATCGAACGCTGCCACCAGTATCAGTCCCAAGGCAAAAGTCTATCCAGTCATAAGCCGTTACAGCGGCACCTGAGCCACTTGAGGAGCCGCCTGTTGTTTGATATCCATCACCACGAGCACTCCACGGATCTTGATAGTCCACTTCCATTCCGTTATACGGTGTGCCGAGAGCAAATGCAATCGTTTTTGTCTTGCCTATGAGTTTCGCGCCAGCATCAAGAGACAACTGAACAGTCTCTGAGGTATAGTTCTGGTAAGAGTACGCTTCATAGTACGCGCGACTGCCTCCTGAGGTTTTCAGACCATTAACATGAAAGATGTCTTTCACGCCGAATCGAAGACCTGCTAATGGGCCCGCACCGGCATTTGTCGACGCAAGCTTCGATGGGACAATGATACTAGGGAGCCTGGCACCTGGCAGTGACACGTGTAACTGCTGATGCTTCCCTGACTCACTAGCATCTGGAAACGATCCTTCCATGAACGCTAATACGATAGTCAATACATCTGAAAATTAAAAGTTGAGATGAATCAGTAGCTTACCCTCATAATAATCAGTATGAAGAGCATATACCGGAGTCATGCCGAGACCAGCACCCTCACAGTCAGGGAGGATCGCGATGTATGGGCCATTGCCGAGCTCGCACGCAGAAGAAACGGCAAATATAGCTGAATTCTCTGGAAGAGAAGCCCCATTCAGCATGAAAGCTGTGGCAACAAAAACAGTTGTCACTCCATTGGACTTGATGAAGTCTCCGAAAGACGGATCCAGGGGAATATTTGAGGAACCTCCACTATACTGAATGAACAGACAGCCTAAAAATTGGTCCTTACTCCAGACATCATCAATTGAATAATCTTGAACGGCATCGTCTAGGGCTGCGGCAGACAGAGAGATGGTAGAAGAGTTTAAGGTGACTA